TCCCTCTACCCCTTTTTGGGTTTTGTGCTGAGAAAACAACTTAATGGAGACTCCTGGAACTCAAATCCTTGCTTGTGGTTTTCGGGTGTTTTGGTTCGTCTTAATACAAAGTTGTATTTCATGACAATTGTTCCTAGCAACAAAAAAATACATGTTCTCAGGTGCACTTCTACATTGGAGACCTTTAAGACCTCGTGGACTTGGCAAAACATCCAGCATTTCCGTATGCCTCACGCAAGCAGCAAAACTGGAACTAACTGGCTTTAGCCAGGAGTTCATAGGCCTTTAATGTCAAACATTGGCTTAGTTGAGGCGATTGCACAAAGGCATTAGGTTCAATCCATGTGGTTTTTCCGCGGATGAAAAGGGGAGGGGAGACCCCTTTGACCAACCAAAAAGGCTACGCTGGGGATCATGGAACCTCCATGGACAAAAGCCAGGTGGGACAGGGGCTGGAGTAAAGAGGAGAACTGGGCAAAGCCGGCTGGATCCAACCCAGTGGTTTATTTTTTAACTATGGTCGGTTTGCAAAACCAGGATTTGGCTCTGGGATGACTGCTCAGATCCGGGTCGGCTTTGAAAAATATTGATTCTGTCTCCTTTGCTCTGGCCTCTGTAGCTGGGGGATGTGCTGTGGCGGCTCCAGGAAACGAGTCAGGAATTAGGCCTGGACGTCAGAGTTCACGTGTCCTGCAAAATCACAGCTAAAGCTAACCGTGGTCAATGAACCAACTTTGAAAAAGGGTTTCAGATCCTGGTTTGACAGGCTGTAGCTTCCCTCATTGGACTGGCTTGCATCTGGACAAATGTAGTGAAACTGAATTGAATCACAGTTTTGCATTATGTAGCAGAATGAATCGTAATATGGATATAGCATTGAAACCAGGGGTTATAACCAACCAGTTTTTCCACTGGAGAAGAGGGGAGAAAGGGTCCCCAATGACCTTCCCACAAGGCTGTGGTAGGGATCGTGGGACTTGTGTTGACAAAAGCCATGTGGGACAGAGGGCTGTAATAAGGAGGACAGTTGGGCTGAAAATCTGGCTGGATCCAACCCAGTGTCTGTATTCTTATGTTTTGTACAAGCCCGTTGGGTTTCAGCTTGTGCTCCTCAGGGAATTTTAGTAATCAATATCTGGTATGGCCACCCTTTTATGTTCTCAAAGATGGGATGTAGCCTCAGTCCAATTTCTGGGGCAGATACTCCTCCACATTTTGTGCTGACCTCCTGCTTTCCTTTCTCTGGCAGGCGAGAAGCCCCACCAGTGCAGCATCTGCTGGCGCTCGTTCTCGCTGCGAGACTACCTGCTCAAGCACATGGTGACCCACACGGGGGTGCGCGCCTTCCAGTGCTCCATCTGCTGCAAGCGCTTCACCCAGAAGAGCTCCCTCAACGTGCACATGCGCACCCACCGCCCCGAACGCTTCCAATGCTGCATCTGCAACAAGTACTTCTCCCACCGCACCCTGTTAGAGCGCCACATGACCACCCACACGGCTTGGAAGGGCGGGCAGCCCGACGCCCCGGTAGCCATTGTTGCCGCCTCCTCCTCCTCCACTGACTGGAAGGACAAACCAAGCATCGCCGCCGCCTCCACCGAGGGGACCATCGCCGCCACATGGAAAACAGGAGAGCCATCTTCCGAGAGTGCCATCACAGCGTGGAAAGGGGGGGACCCAGTCTCTGGTGAAGGCAGCTTGGTGGCCTGGAAGGGGGAAGCTACTGGGGAAGGGCCAGTTACTGCTTGGAAAGGGGACCCAGCAGCGGAGGCATCCATACAGACTCACACCGCCTAGGAAGTTCCGCTTTGCCACTTTATGAAGGGACCTTGCCCGTCCTCACTGTCCAGACAGGCAGCATCAAGGCATGCCTTGATTCGTCAAATTGGGAAGGGTGCCCAGCATCCTGCAAACTGCAGAGGTTTCCGATACAGGGCCAAGACTTCTCCTGTTGCAAGGCAGACTTTTTCAGGGTCTGGGAGTCAGGTTGCCAGGTCCCCCCCGGCTACTGGTGGAGCGGGGGGCAGGGCAGGGTAGGGTAGGGCTACCAGATGGGGGGACTCGTGGAGATTTGGGGATGGGGCCTGGGGAGGATGAGGACCTCAGTGGGGTTCGAGGCCATAGAGTCCTCCCTCCAAAGCATCCATTTTCTCCAGGGGAACTGGTCTCTGTGGTCTGGAGCAATGTTCCCTCTAAGTGACGGAGTCCTGTGAGCAAAAATTCTACTCTGTGAGCTACTGGCATTAAAGTTGTGAGCCAGCCATTTGGCTACTGCATAAATTAGTTTGCTCTGGAGCCATCCTTCCTGAGCTAAGGCAAAAATGTGTGAGCCAGAGGCTAAAAACCTGAGCTAGCTCACACTAACTCAGTTTAGAGGGAACACTGGTCTGGAGATGAGCTGTAATTCTGGGGGGTCCCCCCCCCGGTTCCACCTGGAGGCTGGCATCCCTGTCTGGGAGGCTGGAGGGAGTGTGTCTCATTATTAGTGAGGTTTGTGGCCCTACGGAGGGCAGATACACGAAGGTTATCTCGTGCTATCCTCTTGACACCCTTGTGATGTAGATAAAGGACAGAGTTATCATGACTTGCCAAAGACCACCCTTCATGGATGACTGCGGATTTTCAGCCAAGAACTCGCCATACGACACTCTATCCATTGCGGAGCCCTTCCTCTTTGGCACTAGCTGTTAGAGATGTGACCAGGGGCAGGGACAGGACGACATCCACAGCAATGTCAGAGATGCCAGTGTAAAGCCACCTCCTACCTAGCTTTGGCATTCAGGATCAGAAACACCTAACAAGGAGATGAGTTTTTAAAGGATTCCAAGCGTAGGAATGTTATGCTAACCATCTTAAAGCAGTTCCTGGTGCACATTGTCAAAATGATTGTTTCCGTGGATGTATACAGACATTTACATTTCTGTCGAGCCTTTCTTCTCTGCCTGGCCTTTCCCCAGTATTAAATAAAACAGTGCATATGTGAATTGCTGAAACTGTAGGACATTTTGCAGAGATTCTTGGAAAACCATCCACGGGATCAAAGGCTCACTCCTTGGCCGAAGAATCTGGTGAACCAACGTGGGCTGCAGACTGAGAAATGTCTCAGTTTCGAAAGCGGTAGACTTCAGACTGCAGGGGGCGGGTCCCATGAACACAGGAAGTTGGCCTTCTGCTGAGTCAGACCCTTGGTCTATCGAGGTCAGTCTTGTCTGCTCTGATTGGCAGCAATTCTTTTGGTCTCATCTAGAGGTCTTTGGTGTAGTGGTTAAGAGTGGTGGACTCTAATCTGGAGAACCGGATTTGAGTCCCCACTCCTCCACATGAAGCCAACAGGGTGACCTTGGGCCAGTCATAGTTCTCTGAGAGCTGTTCTCTCAGAGCTCTCAGCCCCACCTACCTGGCAGGGTATCTGTTGTGGGGAGGGGAGGAGAAAGAAGATTGTAAGCTGCTTTGAGACTCTGAGGGAAAGGCAGGGTAAAAATCCTCCTCCTCCATCCCTGATCCTTTTAAGTAGAGATGTGCCAGGAATTGAACCTGGACCTTCTGCATATCATGAGCCAGTTTGGTGTAGTGGTTAAGTGTGCGGACTCTAATCTGGGAGAACCAGGTTTGATTCCCCACTCCTCCACTTGCAGCTGCTGGATGACCTTGGGCAAGCCATAGTCCTGTCAGAGCTGTTCTCTCAAGGACAGTTCTCAGACCTCTCTCATCCCCGCCTACCTCACAGGGTGTCTGTTGTGGGGAGGAGAAGGGAAAGGAGTTTGTAAGCCGCTCTGAGACTCCAAGCCAAGGGCAGGGTATAAATCCAATCTCTTCCCCCACCACCAAGCAGATGCTCTGAGATACAGTAGCCATTTTCGAATGCGCCTTTACATAAAAAGCTCCCTGCAAGAGACCGAAAGGGATTCTTTGTTTTTATTTTTTGAATAACTTGATTATCAGCTGGCTGGGTGCCCCATTTCAGTCAGGGCCAGGAGAGGGGAGGTGCTGGACCTGAAATGGCTCTGAGGATCCACTATTTGCCCACTGGCTTTTCTCCCCCCTGGGCAGGATCCAAAGCAGCATACAGCATCATTGTCCCCATCCCTGCTTTTATCCACACAAAAACAACCCTGTGGAGTAAGTTAGACTGAGAGTGTGTGCCTGGCGTAAGGTCACCCAGCGAGTATCCATGGCAGAGTAGGGATTCTGGGTCTCCTAGAACCTAGTCTGATACTCCAACTGCTGGCTCAGACAATGACTCAACTGAGGCTGTGTCAATTTAGGACTATGGCATGAGGGTGGCTTGGAATCGGGCCCCAGAGTGCCTGATAATGGAGCTAAAATCAACAATAGAATGCCAGGAGCTGTATTCACAGAGCTCTTGGTGTATTATTGTATAGAAAAGCTGAACTGGAACCCTTATTCCTGGTACGGCTGGCCTTTGTTAAACTAGAAGGGAGTTTTTAAGGTGGATGGATGGTTTTTAAAAAAAACAAAACAGGTATTCTATACCCACAGGCTGAAGAACCACAGTCTCTTCTACTGCTTGGGAATCTAGCACCTCATTTGCCTTCATGTATAAACCAGGCCTCTATGTCATTTCCTGCCTGGGGACCAACCCTGTGATCTGGACAGAAAATTGGGCTGTCTGAATCCTGTCGTACGACAAGCCAGTGTTAGTAGGAGACATGGTTCTGCCAGTTGTCACCGTCAACTTCTGGCTATTGTTTGACTCATCGCAGGCCAGAGGTTATCCAGCAACAGTGGTCACAGCAGCAGCAGGGATGTGCTTGCACCCAACCAGTGTTCTAGCTCACCGAAGCATGTGTAACTTTCTTTAATCTTTGGATTCAAACAAATAAAATGACAAACATCCCTTCGCTGCTGGCCAGAGGACTTTTGTACCCTGGCAATTTGCGGAAAGATCAGCGCCCTGCAGAAAGTATCAGCACACAGTTGGGAATGGACTAAAAGACAATCTAGGGCTGCTTCAGCTCACAGCCAGTTCTTCAGGTACCGAATACAAAAGGCATTTGTAGCAGCGATGGAACGTCCAGAGTCTTCCACACCCTTTTCTCGCCTTGCTGCCTCCCCATGGCTGCCACTTTCCCTGAAGGGCTTTATTCAGGCGTTTCAAAAACTATAATTGCAATTTGCTAGATCACTATAACTTTATAATGGTTGATTGCAAAAGTAGACTAGTTCCTCCCAATTCCTAGCTTTCATTTGAGAAAGTAAACCTCGAGCCCTTTTGGTTATAGAGATATGCATCTCCCATCTACACAAAGAGACTAGAGACTTTTTAAAATGAAAGGTGGGGATACACCGCACCACACTGGCTTGACCTCTTGTTATTTCAACCCCCTGATGGTGAAATCCACTGGAATTCTTTCTTCCTCTCTTGCTTTACTTTGTTTATGGCCTGCCTTTCTCCTCACTGGGGACCCAAAGTGGCTTCCATTGTTCTGTTCTCCATTTTATCCTCCCGGCAACCCTGTGAGGTAGGTAAGGCTGAGACCGATTTCCCACAGCCGCTGCTCTGCGCTGGCTCATCTCTTTCCCCCATGGTACGTGTCAATTTCCCACTCGAAGCTGCGCGGCCGCATTTTGACCCACGGTTTTGCCCGCGGTTTCGTAATCCTCAAAAAACAGGATCACGAAACCGCGGGGGGAAGAGGAGCGAGCGCAGAGCAGCGGCTGTGGGAAATCGGTCTGAGTGTGTGTGACTGGCCCAAGCTTCCATGGCAGAGGGGGGATTTGAACCCATGTCTCGCAGATCCTAGTCTGACACTTTAATCACTACACCGCACTGGTTTAGTGGTAGCTTTAAAAGGGCAGAGGAAGTGGGGAAGATCTTCAGTCCCTTCACTGAATTGCAGAGTGAGCAATCCCAGACAGATCTACCCAGAGGTAAGCCCCGTATTATTCAGTGCGCGTGTGTGTGAAGTGCCGTCAAACTGCAGCCGGCTTATGGTGACCCCGTAGGGTTTTCAGGGCAAGATACGTTCAGAGGTGGTTTGCCAATCCCTGCCTCTGCGTAGCAACCTTGGACTTCCTTGTTGGTCTCCCATCTAAATATTAGCCAGGGCTGATCCTGCTTAGCTCCCAAGATCTGACAAGACTAGGCAAGCTTGAGGTCTCCAGGTCAGGGCAGTGGTGCTTTACTCGCAGGAAAATGGCTCCAGGAGGGGGAAAAAAAGGAAAATGGCTCCAGTTTCTAGGCTGAGACTTGTTAACTCCCATTTGTCATCTTCATCCCATATGCTGACTGCAAGCGTAACTTGTTATAATAGCAGTGCCGTGATTGTCTTGAGAGAGCTTAATCACTTGCCCCATAATTTGAGCTGCCCTGAAAAAATATTGTTTGCATGCATTACGCCTGTAGTAATTGCTAGCTGAATGTCTCGAGGGCATTGATTGTCCACTTGTTCTTTCAGATCTCTGCTTCTACAATTTATGTCTCTCATTGAGAAAACTGGTTATGTTAGCCCTGCCTCTGCTGGGAGCTGATTTGTTAAGCCTCCAATCACTCCACACCTTGGCAGAGCCGCAACCTTTGCTTCCACTGTGGCAGAGAATGAAAGGAGGAGGAGACGGGTCGGCCGTAGACCAACCTCCAGACATGCCGGCTGCTCCCCAAATCCCAGAAGACGCGCCTGTCGAAGCAGAACTGCTCTCAAAAAGTAGAAACTTTTAATAGTGCCCGGCTTGGGTTAATTAACCAGCTGTCTCCAGAGGGAGGTGGGCTGAGGAGTTTGAAAGCCCTCCCTCAGAGCTTATTTACACCCCAGGCTGAGGAAACCTCTAGAGACACCTTTTTAATTGATTCCCCAAGCAACTTGCTACAATTAGAGCTTGTTCTCTTCAGCAATTAGAGTTTGTTGTATTCAACGCTCCCACAGGTTCTTCCCCTTTGGGCAGATGTCTCTACAGAACTAGCCTAGAGAGGAGCTTGGGGATGTACCGGAGGAGTTATGTGACCCATTTCTGCTCCAAGAATTGTTCTGTGGCAGC